TCTCGTCCCCTACATTTAACTCCAGAATAGGCCAATCCGAGAGTCTTGTCTCCATTTTAGATAACTTCCATGGAGCTAACAAAAAGTCAAAGATAATTCAAAATTCCTTGCTCAAAAGTGGTAGGGAAGAGTGGAATAAAGAGGTTGCACGACTATTTTTCAGAGAATGTTTCAAAGATAATCAAACAGGCTTTGAATAAGTTTTATTCAATTTCTATTAAAATTTCGTCTGTTCTGATCTGGTTGGTTGCATGCACCACAGAACAATGCACATTTTTCCGAAGTTATCTGTCCTTTTATTTATAAAGCTGATAAAAATTCCTAAAATTCATCGCAATTTTAATTTTATAATAAAATATTCAAGTCATTTGATCTTCCTAAAAAATAAATAAAACTTATTAAGAATCAGCAATGTATACTATATTCAATCTTTAATTTTTGTTTATTAAATTTGTACCTTAAATTTCTGCACCCCTGGAAATAGTACAACTTGAACCTTGTAATGAACCGCCCACCTGACTGAGTTGGATTATATCCATCACTTAATAACTATACATAAAAATTTAAAGCTTCATACCCTCGCTCATTGACGGTATTCGATGAATATTAGTTTTTATTTACAGTAATATAAATATTGTTGATTTAGTTAATAATTAAGGTTTCATTTTATATCAGAAATATTTTTTTAAGGTCTGACTGAAGTTAGGAAAGCTGTGTTCTGCTTCAGTGTGCATGTCTGAGGGTTGACCCACTTTAAGTCATGAGGCTCTCTACCCTAACCTATTTACCTCGCTAAAAGGGCTGTCTACTTGTGTACATGTTGTACATGCATCATATTCAGAGATATAGCTTCACATTGTTAAATCATAGGTCTACCACAAAAGTATTTTATATAATTTTTAACCCCTTTTTAACCTATAACAGGATATTTTTAATAGTTTCATATTTCGGTCGCCTTTTTAAAAAAAAACAACAAAGCATTAACCCAACAATATCTTTTAAGCCCACAGGAAATACAATAACAGCAGGATAAAACTCAAGGAAACTCAACAATTGTTGACTCATTTTGAAATGAACGTGACAAACTAGATACATGAGATAAATATTTTGAGTATTTTTCATTGTAAAAATTTCAAATATGGAATGAAAAATTAATGAATGAAATTAACACACACAAAAAATTGGAATTAAAAACTATGAACAAATCAAATATATTCATTAATCAGAATAAATATTCGACTTCCGGAATGATCTTTAAGACGGAACATTCCCGCATTTTTAGACAACACTGAAACCACTACTTTCCACCTAAAATCAATGATAGAAAAATATGAATTTTTTTTTTTTTTTTTTTTTTTAAAAAACCATCAACATTTAGAAATGACTTTTAGACATAATATAGCACCAACAATTTTTCTTTTTTTAGAATAAAAATTTGAAAAAACTACAGATATACAAAAGCTTGAATATAGAATCGTGATGAAGAGTCCAAATATCTGTAGTACAACAATATAAACTTAAAACAAAACCTACAAACCCTAAAGAAATATAGCAACATAGAAGACCCAATATTTTTATTTATCAGAACTAAGAATTTAGAAATAAGAATTTATAGATCAACTACAGATATATGAAGCTTGTAGGTTGGATGGTGGTGAAGAGATAACGGTACATCGCAAGCCTCAGTATAACAAACCATATAACACTCGACAGCCTCATATGTGCTTGGTATTCTATTGATTATTGTAGGACCATGTGATCAAGCCAGGATCAGTCCAAAACAAAACTAAGGTGGTTATCACAATTTTATAGATACAATAAATTAATATCTACCTTCTGTTTGAGATAAAACTCAACAAAAATCATAGAATTCCATAGAAAAAAACTCAAAAATTTATCGGCTTCAACTAGACGAAATTATGTATCTAAAAATTTGTTGACAGGGGAAAAGAGGAATAGGTTCTAAATAGCTTTTCAGACATCTTTCTCGAACACCTATAAATAATTACTGACTGCCTAAACGTTAGAGAGAAAGAGAGAAATGGGGTTTAACGTCCACTCGACACAAACTAGTTCATTTCGGGACTAACATATGGTTTAATTTTATTTCAATAATTCGCTTGCGCATAGGGGTCTTTAGCAGTGGGAGGAAACTGGTGGACCCGGAGAAAACCCACGAGGTTGGACAGGCGACCCTAATCCTTGTCACGTACAACCGGGGATTCGAAACCACGCCAGTTGGCTCAATGACAGGCCTTATGATACAGTGCGAGCATGCTAACCATTCGGCCATCCAACCCCCCTCCTAAATATTAGAATGTTTATAATTTTCTTGTCTATTGAAACACATGGCATGTTTCAATTTATACAAATCAAATAAATCACAGGTTTCATCAAAATAAATTCATGCTAACATAATAGAAATTTCAAAACGACTTGAACAAGAGATAAATCTATTGTAAATATAAAAACCTCAACATCAGCCTTTCCATGGAAACACAATAATGATCGAATTCGAGAAATTTGTAATAAGCAAAAATGAAATGGAATGGGGTTTAACGTCCTACTATTCTGCTCTGAACTGGGCTAATGAAGACGGGCATACGCCATACAGTGTGCTATGAGGGAAATTTTGCCCGGACAGCGGCACTATGGCCTACTCATATCGAATTCCGATTGTCATAGGATCTTTTACGTGGACATCAATGTAACAGACATTGTACTGTAGTCCCTGATCATTTATGTTCAGAATATAATTGGTGCCGGTTTAATAGTGGCTAGACATCCTTGTAATTCAGGTATCTGAGTCTGATCATTCTTGGTCAGAATACGATTGGTTTAATATCTCCACCTTACCGCGCGATCTTACTTACGAAACGGTGGCCAGACAAATGAAAGGAAACCAAGGTACATGTAGGTGTGTTGTCATGGAACTTTTGCCTCGATAGCAGCATTACAAGCTCTTTATTTTGATAAATATTTCCATGTTTAACATGATGTCCATGGTAACACATGACCTCAACAACTGGGTTCCTTTTCTTCCTGGCCAAGTCTGTTGTCCTGAACAACCAACAAGGGTGAAACCAAGCTTCAGAGAGAGAAATGGGGTTTACTGGGTCTTTAACAGTGGGAGGAAACCGGAGGAAACCCACGAGGTTGGACAGGTGAACCTACTCCCAGTAACATACCACTGGGAATTGAAACCATGCTAGTTGACGCAATGACAGTCCTTATGATTCTATGTGCACACGCAAACCATTTGGCCATCCAACACCACAAACCAGGCTACAACATCCAAGATTCTTGGACTAACACTGGTTGGCGAATCTATGCCACACACACACAGCCACCAAAGTGGACAGAAATATTCAATGACACCACGATAATTGTATCCAATTTTGCATGTCCCACTATTGTGCTCATTCAAATGGTTCAATTAGGATAAAAAGATGTCAAATCCCATTTTATTTACAAAATTCAAATTAATCTGTCCAAAAAAAAAAACTAGATCATTCAGAAATCTAAGGTCACAAAATCACTATGGACACAATTGTAATTCATAACCTTGTAATGCATGTGTTTATAAATGTATGTTTATTTCAATGCATGTACATGTAACCCCTGCAGTATGTATATATCATAATTTACACAAAAATATAATTCATGATCTTTTTTAATCAAATATTGTCGTTTCAATTATTAAAATTTTATTTTACAATTCTGTTTTTTCTTATAGTAAAGCAGATAGTATTTTGTAAACGTTTCAACTTTTCACAAATGTTACAGTCAACAGATAAATTTATGGTGACAGATGGCACTGTTATAAATTTTATTTTACGATATTTAAGAAGTCAGGATTTGTACACATGTAAACAGTCAATAAACATGTACTCAGTAAGCAAATACTCTATGTCAGTAAGCAATTGAAATGGTGTGCAACATCCTACTGTTCTGCACCGACTGGGCTATTGAAGACGGGTATACGCCACACAGTGTGCTTTGAGGGAAATTTTGCCCGGGCAGCACTACAGCTTACTCTTATATTGAAATCCAACTACCTTGGGATCTTTTATGTACATGTCATACAGTGTGCTCTGAGGGAAAATTTAGCCCGGACAGCGGCACTGTGGCTTACTCTTATATCGAATTCCACTGCCAGGGATTCTTTTACGTGAACTGGATTCTGTTGGGTAATGGGAGTTTGTTCCAAGGTAACAGAACTGGATTCTGTTGGGTAATGGGAGTTTGTTCCAAGACAACAGATCTGGATTCTGTTTGGTAATGGGAGTTTGTTCCAAGACAACAGAACTGGATTCTGTTGGGTAATAGGAGTTTGTTCCAAGTTCACAGATCTGGATTCTGTTGGGTGAAGTGAGGTTGTTCCAACATCACAGAACTGGATTGTGTTTCTTAGTTGGATAAAGGGTGTTTGTTCCAAGATCACAGAACTGGATTGTTTTGGGTAAAGAGAGAGAGAGAATATGGGTTTAATGTCCACACGACACAAACCGGGTCATTTCGGGACTAACATATGGGTTAATTTTATTTCAATAAATCACTTGCGCGTAGGGGTCTATAGCAGTGCGAGGAAACCGGAGGACCCGGAGAAAACCCACGAGGTTGGACAGGGGACCCTACTCCTTGTCACACACAACTAGGGAATTGAAACCATGCCAGATGACTCAATGACAGACCTTATGGTACAGTGCGCACCTGCAAACCATTCGGCCATCCAAGCCCCCGGGGTGGATATATGTGGTTACTATATTCTAATTCGAGTGGGTGGCCAAGATCATCAACAGAGAACCTGTCTGATAATTTCTGTTCTGTAGTTTGATTTTAGCCATCAGCTCGGACCACTACCTTGTTATCCTCCCTTGGTAAGAACGCAGCTATCCCCGTCATTGATCTAGCAATACAACGCTAACCAAGGGTAGATAACAGAGAAGACTGAGTGTATTGTGTTTGTAACTTTATAAAGTTTAAAAGAATCAACTTACCGGAGCCATACCGTTTACACTGTACCCTGAATTTACAAAACCCTGAAACAGAAACAAGACGATATATAAATAGGGTTTAACATCCTAGATGCACAACTCTGAACACTTTAAATTCCAGGAGTTTTCCAGGAGTTATTTACCAGATTCCAGGAGTACCTGTATAGAATTTTACATCATAATGTATATTTTGTACGCTTGAAGAACATTTACGGCGACGACCTTGTGATCCTTTTAAGAAACATTTGATGACTATATAGCGAAACCACAAATGTTAATTTTCACAGAGTTTCAAGGAGTAAACTTGTTTTTCCAGGATTTTCCAGTACTGGAAATCACATTTTTATTTTTCCAGGATTTTCAAGGAGTTTCAAGGAGTGTGCGAACCTTGTGTATATAACATTTGAACAACCGTAAATTTAAATACAGGAATCCTGATAGAGTGCACAAGGCAAGTTCCAAAATGGTGTCAGAAGTATTGCATTGTTTTTACCTTGTCTGTCCTCTACATGTCAATATTTTACAACGGACACCAAGTTCACAAGGCATTCCCAGACTTTAAATCACTGTTTATAAGAAATATCTTTGATCCAGAAACACAAAACTTTGTATATAGTTTCTTATTGATGTATTTGATACATTAAAACAACAGAAGTTTCATACAGGGCTATATTTTAGTTAAAAAATCAGGCAAACAATTTTGAGTGAATTCTTAAGTCTTAGAATTGTTTGTGAACTCAGGGTCATTAGTCGTATACCTTCGAATTTTGCAAGTAAAAATGAAAGATGTATACTGGTCACCTTTTACAAAAGTAGAATGAATGAAACCTAATTTTCATCTCCATCTGGGCTAATGAAGATGGAGAGAGAGAGAGACATGGGGTTTAACATCCACTTGACACAGACTAGGTCATTTCGGGACTGACTAACACATGGTTCAATTTTATTTCAATAATTCGGTTGCGCGTAGGGGTCTTTAGCAGTGGGAGGAAAACGGAGAACCTGGAGAAACCACGAGGGTGGACAGGCGACCCCTTCTCCTTGCCACGTAATGAAGATGGACATGCACTATGCAGTGAGTTACGATGAGAGAAATTTTGCCTGGACATCAAAATATAATTCAAACCCTAAAGGGTTCTTTTATGTGCACGCCAAGGTCTACCAATACCTTCGTTTTTGTCTCATCTGAACAACTAGATAATGTTCCTTGCACCGCAGGGATCTTTTATGTGCATGCCAATGTGTACACGGGACCGCAGTTTTCCGTTCCATCTGGATGATTAGACAGCTGTCCTTGTCTGACCCTCCGTCCTGCATCACTGACAAGGGGAAACAACGTCGGAAAATCCTGATGAACCAAGAGGAGCAGAAAAGCAGGATATTTCATTCACAGTAGCAATATTATTAATTTATAAACAAATGTCCAGTCGCTGCACAGAATTAAAACATACTATACATCGGCTATCTACAAACTTGATCAAAAACTTGAATTTCATAAAAATAACGGCATAATATGTACATGTACCACATAACGACAGTGTTCTCGTCATGCTGTGCATGTATAACCCAGTGATTGTTTTCCATATAAACTGTGTAATATTTTTTTTTTTTTTAAAATGTATTATTGTATAAAGTATTTTCATTCACAGATGGATGCATCAGATTCAATTGTATCCACAAATATTTGGTAAGGCCGCAGTTAATTAATTGTCCGTTTCTCATGACCCGTCCGCATTCATGAGGACACAAATTCATCCCACAAAGTTTGTAAATCTATAATTTAATTTGTTTGCCTTTAAATATAAACAATGAATTGATGCATTAAAATCCACTATTTAGCCTGTCGATAAACAGGACACTGTAGGTGATAAGTTAGCTACTAGGCTAGAATGTGAAAGAGAGAGAGAAATGGGGTTTAAACCAAGAAATTGAAAAAGATGAAATGACATAAAATGGGGTTTAACGTCCTACTGTTCTGCTCCAAACTGGGCTAATGTGGTACGAGGGGAATTTTGCCCAGACAGCGGCACTACATCGTACTCTTATATTGAATTCCAACTGTCAAGGGATCTTTTACGTGCACGCCAAAATGTACACTGGACCTCTGTTTTTCATCCCATCCCAACGACTAGACAGCTGTACTTGTTAGGCCCTCAGTCCTGCATCACTGACAAGGGGGAATCACGGCTGAAAATCTGGATGAACTTTCCTGGCCAATGCAGGAATCGAACAGCCGACCTCCAGACTAGCGAGCCAGCGCCTTATCCACTTAGCCACCGTGACCCCACAGAGAAAATAATAAAAGTATTTATATATCACGATGCCATGTTCTGATAGGGTCAAAGTTGAAGACAATTAACATACTCGTTATTGGGACTATCTTCCTTCAGGGCTAGTACATGTAGGTGTATAGTATATCCTCACACGGCAAACCTCGGCTATATGCGGCACCGGTTTAACATATTATTAGGAAGTTATCAAAATCTGCTGAGGTTTGCCGAGTGAGGATATCCTTGGAATTAGCCAAGACGTTAATACCACTTTTTCTGTATTTTAAAAATCCAAAGGTATGCTTTTAATTATTTATGTCAAAACAAATCATCAACCTGATCGAAACAGGTAATTTTTATACCTGTCAAAAGAGGGATAGATGATTAAATGAAATGCCAAGAATGAATGAATAAACAATTGGTTAACTTAAAAGCATATCACTAATAGTTTAGACCTACATGTATCATTATGATCAAGTTTGCCGATGCCCGGCTATTGTGCAATAGATATTGTTAATCTATAAAATTCATTAAATGAGAATAAATCATTGATGTTGTCGATTAATGTTGAGTTTTTAGTAACCATGTAACCGACATTATTAATTATTGCTGAAACAGAAACAGCACTAAATTCAAAAATTTTAAATTCCATCTCAATAATTAATAATTACCTCATGTAGCAGGCATATTTCACAAACACAGTTCACGAGAAACAGATACTTAATTAACCGCGGCCTTATGCAAAAATATTTTTTTAAGATAATTTACTATCAATCTATTCCCATATTTATAATCCAGACCCAAGTCAAAGATTGGTATTTTTATGTGACTGGTCGTCGATGTTTTATTATTTTTTTTTTAACATCCAGTATTTATGACATAACCCCCTCACTGCCAGTCTATATAAAATCAAAGTATATGTTTTTATTGATTATTGCCAATGTGAAAAAATATTGGGTAAATAATCTTGACATTTTAAAGTTTGCCCAATAACTGGAGAAAATCTCTCAACAATGTTGTGTTGCCATGGTAACCAAAGATCTGTATCAGTCCTGGCCCTACCAATTATTCCCTGCAAGAAAACAGTCATCAGCCTTGGGCTATACCATTTTCTTCACGAGGGGCTACAGGCTAGAAAAAAGACATTAGGATGTCTATGTCTACAGCTCAAATACGGATTTATTTACTTTAAAACAGATCTTCCAAGTTTTAAACACTAAAATATTAAAGTATTGTATAGAATTAAAATCTATACCTCATGTGATTTGGGAGGAAGCTTCTCTCATGGATCCCGTCATAAAATGAATGGACTGGCTTTAGAAGATGAATGGTCACAATAGAATAATGCATGGTGTGGAGTCACCCCAGGCATCAGCAGTATTCAAGGACTGGTCAGCTGTCCCCTTTCTTTACATTGAAAAATAAAACCCGGACTTAAATATTGGATTCATCAACAGAATCCTTTTGTCAAATTCCACTTAAACTGACACCTGTTAACAAAAGGTGTTATGCTACATTGCCTTGACAACAAACTACATTCTTTAAAAAAAAATTAATAAACGTCATTTCAGCAATTGCGAGTCAATCCCTTGCTAACTACGATATTATCGAAGTTGAATTTCTAAATAGGAATCTGTCCAAAAATGGTTCAAATCCGGCGGAATATCGAAACTGAAAAATTCTTTTTGTCAAAACACCCCAAAATTGGTTCAATATTTCAACATCACTGGATTCTTATTAAATATTTAATCGGTAGTTAGGATTTTTCTGCGGCCATTATGACAGACCAATCAATGGTTATTTTGACTAAATTTATGGAGTTGTCTTAAGTCATTTCATACATTTCTCGTTTAAACAAATTGGCACCATTTTGTTACAGGAACTATTTTAATAGGACTCTTTTGAATCAAATAGAATCCAAGCCAGTAGTTATGAACTTAATTTGATTATCTATCATTCAATTAAAAATACATTATGGGAGATTAGATAAAAAGCTGGCAGTTCTCACTATAATAGTTAAAAAATAGATAATGTAAAGGTAATTTGCTGAAAATTTCAGTCAAATTGATACACCCAGAACCGACATTTTAGCAATTGAATTTTCGGAATAGCCTTGATCATCATCACTGAAGTCAGTCTATAAAAAACAGTCTCGATTATCCATTTCATGATTAAATTATGAATGGAAGTCGAACAGCAAATCGGAACCTAATCCAATAACCATCGCAGGCTAGCGATGCCATCGAGAGTTGATTATGGTCTGGATAAGTTAATTAATGTCTAATTAATAATTTATATAACATTTCAGGCCTAAAGAAAACCCTGCAATAGGCAGATGAACTTTCTCGACCGAGACCAGGATCGAACCCGCGACCACCAGGCTAGCAAACCAGCATCTTACTCACTTAGCCACAGTGGCTCCCAGTTAGATTGTAAGATAATTACATAGTTGAGTTGGATCCCGATGATGTTTACACCAGAATATGGATTTGCATCCGATAATAATCTACTCATTGCAAATTAACACCACAACCAGGATATATCACAGGTTGCCAGGCAACGATGCACACCCCAATCAGTATATAACAGGTTGCAAGGCAACGATGCACACCTCAATCAGGATATGACAGGTTGAAACACAACTTTGGTTTTCCGTACCATAAGAATGACTAGACAGCTGTCCTCTGTTTTTCATCCCATCCAGATGACTAGACAGCTGTCCTTGTCAGGTCGTCCGTCCTGCACTACTGACAAGGGGGAACCACGCCGGAAAAT